TCATCTTCTGTATTAGTACACATACACATGTTAGACATTTTAATATAAGCAAGTTTCGGGCACCGGATGTTTTTTTGAAAAGCTGTTTCACCGAATTTCGCATCTCCCGGTTCGTCGAATTTTGATATGAAATCATAATATAATTATTATACTTGTCACTTCTTCAATTAGAAATGGTTACAGATAATTATAAAATAAAAGTAGGCTTTCGCAAAAATCATGTCGATTATAGGCTATGCCAACGTAGCCGAACAGTAAAAAAAAATGTTATGAGGGTGTTTTTGTTAGGGTTCAAAAAAGACAAAGGCGATTCTTCAAATGAGCACTGGTAACACAGGCCGACTGGTAACATAATTAAAATAAAAGCACCGACTTCACAGAACAGGAAAAAAACAATTTCACTAGACGTTTCGCCTCCATGAATAAACGCCTCCATGAATCATGAATAACCAACTCGCCCAAACTGAAGTTCTGACCAGTTTCGCCTCCCTTGCGGGAGGCATCTTCAGTAGTTACACAACAATGCCTGTGTAAGCTTCGTGGAGAGGGCCGCGTTTTTTGTTACACACGGATGTGTGTGTCCCTGCGAACAAACCACGATTCTAGGATTTTCGGGACCCCCATCTGTCCTCCCTCGCCAAGGTCGTCGCGGCCGGGAAGTCAAAATAATGCCCCATTGTCCACACATAGTACACCAGTTCAGACTTCAGTCGGGTCGCGTGGGATGCGCACGTGACGTCACGCTTGTGTTTACAAAGCAAATGAAAAGTTCAACCTCAAGTCAACGCTATTTATCAAATATGTCCGTACTTCGTGGAGAGGGCCGCGGTTTTTCTTACATACGGATGTGTCTCTGAGAACAAACACGATTTTAGGAGATTTTCGGGACCCCCATCTTTGTCATAGGGTGACTCGTTTATCGGACTGTTCGTCGCAGCGAGAGTACAGGGAAGGATAATAATTCATACCCTATATCGTGCAGAAGAGAAGAATATAAAAAGAAAAAAAGAAAACGAAGCGAAAATTTCGATTTCCTTTCTTGTGGACAGGGCATTGTAGGTGAACGTGGCTTCCTTGTTTGATTCGCCAAAGTAGCAACGAAGCGACATTTTACGATCGAGCGAGCACCGTCGGAAACACTGCCCAAAATAATTTTATAGGGAGTTTCACGGCTTTCCACTGCGACATAAGCACGTGGATAGAAAAACAAATATTGACAACAATAATTGTCGAATATTTTTGGCACGCTCACTCCTGGTTTTTCTTCATAATTTGATGACTCATATGTTGATTTTGTTTGCGGAACCGTACTTCTGACCGGCAATTTTATTGCGTACGCGAAGCTTTTGCGTGCGATCCACTACAGTTAATTATTTTGGGGCGTCCAAGTTGAAGCGGTGCGTGTTATTTTTCGATCTCTGTCCGAATGATACAAAGTTTCACGTTTTCACCCTGTGAGTGAAGTGAGTTGGTCAGTGCTAGCATCGAAGGCTAACTTCGAACTCTAATTTGGAGATAATGTCTCTGTTGCCGCATCGCGGACAAAGATATATATGCTCTTATCACTGTAGCAAAATAATGTGGCAGGATTTGTGCTCTTGTTACGATCGTGTACCATTGTAGTCGACGTCATCCCAGCACGGCGTATCGTTTTTGTATTCGGTTCAGCCCTGCAAACCACACTTAGGAAAAAAATGAAAGTTTGCACCTTGTTTGTTCAATTTTTTGTTATACTGCAGAAACATATTGCGCCCCGTGTTTTTGAAGGCACGGTAGACGGTGGTGACGGTGAGGTGACCGACCCCCATGTCAGCCGGCGTCTCGCTCGACCTCCTCGGAGGACAGGTCGTTTTTACTGGTGACTGGTGCATACGTGGAGCAACTCCGCGCGCATTGCGTTCTTCATCTCAGAGAACACAATACATGACTCAGCTCTATCTCGTCATCGCTCCAAAATGACAAGTGGAATTCGCAACTGTAGTCGGTGACAGGTCAAGAACGAAGTGGGAGCTCCTCCCACCCTGTTCCACTTCAGCGGAGCGAACGGGGGAGAGGAGGTCGCCCCCTCTCCAGCGTTCGCAAATGGCAAATATTAGTTTATTAGGCCACTAACTGTCAATTTACGCTCGTTCCTTTACGTCCGCCGCAGCCGATAATGTTATCCCCGGGAATACCAAAAGTATAATTTCTTTCAGCAAAAAAAACAAAACAAAACAGAATGATAAAACGCCCGGTATATCACAGCTTTGACAACGCTTCACGTGTGTGAGGTTCGATGACCGACAGAGAACCACCGCTGGCCGTGCTCCCGAAGCGGGGAAGTGCAATTTATGGAGACCGATCATATTATCAGAAAGGTGCAGACTAGGGAGCCTTCATGTGCGCGAAGCGCACATGGAGGCACTCTAATGCAGACAATCCAGGAAAAGTATTCTTGCAACTATGAGGTTCCAGTTGTACTTACACATGCATTATCGTCAAATTTGACGGAGTTCCTTCCAACACTAAAGAGTTGTCAAGAGTGAAGATTATAAAGGAGAATATCAGCAGGAATCTATTGTCTGTTTACTGAAAACAAAACAAGCATCAGAAAAACGCATTTGGGCGGCCGGGGAGGCCAGAAGCCAGAGCCAGAAGCACGGACTGCGCGCACCCAGCGTGGAACCAGCGAATGAGAGGGCACTCCTATAGCAATCTGTTTTCAGAGCCACTTTAATTCTATTATGGCTTTCGAAACGTAAATACACGCTCGAGAATTTTCAACAATATCACGCGAGCGCCGACCGGCCTGTAGATCAGCGCATCGTCACGGCGCGAAGTAGCGATATCAATGACAGTACGCGCGTGCGCAGAAGAAACGCGCCGAAGTCGGCGTCAGCTGCTAAGCTGTTTCCCCAATCACGACCCACCCCTGGCGCGACGCCCACCGCTTGCTCCACCCCATAAGCAGGGGACCTAGTAATCAAAGCGACACACACGGTACGCAAACACGAACAGCAGCCAGTAGGAAGGACACCGACACGAGCTTAGTCAGCGAACGAAAAGACAGACACAAACTTCACTCTAGGCAAACAGAGCAGGGGTAGTTACAAGGATGAGATGCGTGCGCAGACGGAGGTAAGCAGTGCACAATAAATACGCGAAAACTCGCAGCAACCGAAGAACTACGCAGTAAACACGTACGTGCACACGCACCAGAAGCACGTGCGTCACGCTGCGTATCTACGCAGAACTGGCGATTTTGGCATTTCGGTAATTTGAAACTTCGATATCGATTCCGTGAACAATTTATTCAGCAAACTGAACCGGTGGAGCCTCGCATAAAAAAAAAATCGTTTAACAATATGAAAGTGACTGAAATTCTTCCTAAAAGCTATATTAGCAGAAAGTACCGTGTTATAAAGGACCTCACGAGTTTCGACCAAGTTTTCCAGCACGTTATTTTGCAAGAAACGGAAGAAGCCAAGTGTACAACCAGTTTCCGAAGCTGGCAACCACAGCTGGAATCAGCGCCATCCTCGGCAGTTTCCTGAACCTCGCGTAGTCACATTTCAGCCACCGCCACATAGAGGGCGCAACCAGACATCCAATTTGTGTTTTCTGTGTGTTTTATGATTCTTTTTAATAAATAGGCTCGATTAGTGAAAATGTGGGCTAATAATCAGGACCTGGAACAGTAATCTCCATTTAATACTAAAAATATCGGCCTAAATGTCTGCCAAAAGGGGTCAAAATACTCGTTTTTGACTATCAACAAATACGTGATTTCACCTATATTCAAACTTTTTTTATGGAAAATCAAAAGTGAAATTTAGAAAAAGGGCCTCGCTTTGCAAAGCAGAATATGTTTTTCTTTGCGGGCCTACAATTTTATTCATGTGTGCCAATCCCTAAGCGCTGTACCACTGTACTACCAAATGAAGTTTGCCAAAATTAACGGTTTTTGTCACTTTTCACGTGAGCATTCCGAAAAAAGTTTAAGCCATATTACAATGAAATTTAGCGAAACTCTTTCGACCATAATTACAAACTGATGTAAAAAGTTTCAAATAAAATGACCGAGTAGGCGCCCAAAACTTCGCGACTGAAGTGCTTCCGCAAAGTCAATTTTTCTAAAGTAAATATCTGTCAAAATAAAATAAAAAACGAAAAAAGGGCCTCCGTTGACAATGAACGCACTCTTCTTCTATAACATTCTAAAATTAGAAAGAAATTGCTCCAATAGTGCACCCTGTACCACTGTACTACGAAACCATGTTTTGCCGAAAAGGTCAATGTTCGCGGGTGCCCTCTGAATTAGCTTTTTGCACTAGGAAAACAAATCCTACATCAGATAAAAGATAATGTTGTACACTACAAGATGATATATAACACATAATTTTAGCAAGCTTGAACACGCCACGATCGCATTTCGAAAACGTGCTGAAAGCGTCATATGTCATGGCCGCCGTGGGACCGCAGCCTTAAGATGGAAGCGCGTATAGATTACTAAGCTTATTGTAATCTCCCCACGAAAATATAATTCAGCCGTAACAACGCTAGATGTTTACACACAATGTGTCTTGTCCTCAGTTTTTTAAGTTCTCTGTCAATATTGGGCCATTAGAAAAATAGACCCGTTATAATAAACATTGCATTTGTGTTCCCTTTAGTAATAGGTAGAAGAACAAAACAGTTCCTATTGAAACTCCAATCTATCCGATACTCACTTTTAAGAATTATTTTACTCTCCCTGGGCCCTAACGTGCTTAAGCACCCTGGCGACCTAGGTACTCAAAAGCATCGTTAGAACCATCACTAAAAACTACCAAAATGTTTTATTAAACTAAGAGTTTAGTTTCTTAAAAATACGCTTTAGAAAGCGGTAAATATTGATTTTAATTTTTTTTATCGCTTGCCATTTCTATTGTAAGGGAATGGACACTTGTTGCTGAAAAGCACACTTTACTAATGGCTTGAGGATTGCATGCAACTTGTGATCTTAGAGACCGGCTTGTTTCTTATTTACAGAGAGTTTTCTTGGCGTTTTTTTCATACGTCTTCCAGTTATCAACCCAAGACTCGAGACGTTTTTCAAATTCCTCGTCGCATTCCTGTAAATGGTAAACATTTTCGCATTGTCACTTAAAAATATTACAACTTAAAAAAAAAAAAAAATTTTCTCAATTGGTAGATATCCGTTCCTATTCGGGGACCAAACGACGCGCGCATAACATGAGCTCGCTTTGATCTCACTAATCATTTTTGATCACAGACACTGGAAGAAGGGCTCTATATAAAAAAAAAAAGTAGTCGTATTTGCGTACCGACGGAGCGAACGTAAATATTCCTTAAGAAAGATCATGAAAAACAAAAAGTAACAAAAACGAAAGTTACTAACCCTACATTTGCTGTAAAGAATTATATACCCCTCAACGGCTTTTGATCCAGGCTTCGTCAATACCTGGGGATGAAAAAAGTTGCAGTTTCTAACAGCTGCTAATATACCTTTTGGTGGAAACACCGTATCGGCCACTGCTCGATGTATGTGTGAATCTTCAGCTGTCGTCTATAATTAGCACAAGGTAAAACTTATGCCTCTTCTAACTGGTAGCTTCTTCCTCAATTCCCTATTTCAGCATACCTTCCCCAATGGGTAACCTTACCAAGCTCCCGACTTCCATTTGTTCTTGAGGACGTAATTAACTTGAAAAATGTTAGCGCCACCGGACAGTTTCAGATAAATCTGCGTGGATGATCACATGCGTCTGCGCTGTGGCCAAGAAAAACATTTTCCTTGGTGTGCAACAAGTTCCTTCTTTTTTAACCAAACGCAGGAAAACTTAAGATAAAGTGTCGTGTGGCATCTGTGCTAGCTTGAAGACGAATACGCAGTTTAAGCTCTGGCGAATTTGGACACAGTTCGTAACATGTGACGTAAAACGGCGTTGCCCCTGCATGAACCACAGAGACACCCTAAACAAAGAATTCACTTTCACCATGTAGGCAGGAATGACGGCGATGAGGATTATTCACCTAATTCAGGTGTATGACTGTCAGCAGTTTATTGCTATCCCGATAATACCTTCTTTATGCCTCTGATATAACGGGATATGCCATGTCGTTCGGTAGGACAGAGCACCAATCTTCTTTTGTTGTAGACACTCCGTTCACATTCCTGACGCCTTTTTTTACAACTTACGCATGTAAGCCTCAAAGAGCTGTGTCCCACCGCACCATTGTTCGCTGCTTCGGGACACGTTTCCCCAGTAGCAGCATTCAAGATTCTCGACAAAGGTGACGTTCGACCCGTTACAGTGATCAACACCGGTGTCAATCAAAGTGACCCAGGACTAATACCAGAACCTAGCCATCCACCTGAAGATGATGACAACTCATCAACCACAACAGTCGTAGGCGAATGCGTTGCAGCATGTGAAGAAGACACAGTAGCCAGTTGTGAGGCAGCGCTGCCAGCCAGTGAGCCTGGTGCTTTGCTGAAGTACCACGTCTCTCCAGAAAGACTCGGCCATCATGATGCCTTTGTGTTTCTTAAGGATGGGACACTTTAAACCTTTCAGAAACATTGAAAGTAGGGAGACCCTAGATACCTACCCTATACTAAACTACAAGATAACCAAAACGCGCTTAATGACCACCGGGGCCTGGACTTCACATATCCTTAAAGTAGTATCATTGAATCTGGGCTTCTTTTATAATTTACTTAAATGGATTTAAAAAGCCTAGGGTTTAGGCGGAAACAATGCCAACATTTGAGACCCTTAAATCATAAATACGTTGACCTAGCGACCGTACACTACATTAAATCATCAGCCTATGAGGAAATTGCAATGGTTTTAGAGTTCGTTAAGGAAGACTGAAATCTTTGTGATTGAGGCAGGAGGGTTTCCTGTTGGTTGAGTCTCGTTTCTGCGCAATAAGCTGGGATATTGGAATGTTTCCTTATTTATTGACTAGGAAGAGCGTCCCATTTCCTGCGCAAAGCTTTGGCACACACGATTTGACATTTCCATTGTGTAGAATGACCTAGTTATGATAATGCAGAGCTGTTTTCTTTACGTTCCTGGCAATGTGATAAATACCGAGAAGTACCAATACTAATTAGAGATTTCAACTGCGTATGTAATCCAGAAGACTGCACTACTGCAGACATGGTAGAACAGATACGCTCGCTGCCACCTTCAAAGACGCGCTTCAGGGAAGCAACCTGATAGCTGTAGCGTGGCAAAAAGACAATGTACTACCTTTTACTCACAATGTGTTTAGCATGCTCCTTTTGAAACAATACATGTGTCTGCGATACGTTTGGTTCAATTTCCACCGATATTATCAAAACCTATTTTTTTAACACTGCATAGTATCTATTCGCTTTGGAGTGAAGACTCGTCCAGATCCTTAAACCAATCGGAAACTGAAAATTTAATGCAAACCTTCAAAAAGATAAAAACCTTTAAAATGCTTATTATCGAATCCCTCGGAATAGCCAAAATCCAGTTCTACATATTTTCTACATTTAGGATCATTTCAATCAACAAGTAAAACTTTAGCGATTATATGTTCTTTAACCATATCGTATGTAAAAAAAAAAAAAAAATGATCCAAACTCGAAAAAAAAAAAAAAAAAACTGCGCTGGTATTACGAGAGGTGCAGTATATCCGTCCTGGTGTTCACAGCGACGATGTTGATGTTACAAACGAGCAACTTAAAAAAAAAGAAAAAAACATTACACGATAAGTATCACGGAGATGTCGTTTATTCTATAAGAAACGTTTTACAGTGATGGCTCCTTATTTTGAACACCTCCGTTCTTCCCAAACATCGCCCATAATGTGAGTGGTTGATAATAACGAATCAAGAGTGCATGCATTTTCCCAGTTAGTCCCCGAAAATGGGCTTCACATAGCGGGACATTCATATTAATAGGGTTCTTGTTAACGAGACATGACTGTACTTACTTAGCAACTAATGAACATGTATCGGGGTGATAAAAAGACTATAAAGGTACGGTTGAATTTTTTTTTTGGTAAATTAACGAAGATAGCGTGACCGCAAACGTCCCACCCGCGGTTGGTAAAGCATTCATTCCAACTACTCGAATGTCCTATTGTAAATGCATCCGCACAGGCAATTCAATTGAGGTATAATGCGTATTTTCAACGATGCCTTCGCTTAAATAATATAGAAAATGTAAAAGGACCTAAAAGCTTAAGTGATGTTAAGGCAGCAATTGATTATATTCAAAAATGAAAAACACCCGGACTTTACGCAATCAGTATTGAATTGTAATATAGATATTAAGACACGCTTCGTCAAGTTTAATTGGGTGTTTTAGAAACGTAATACGGAATGACACACCCACATTCGTCTAACGATTGTCGTGGTGTACTAATATATAAAACCTAAGACACTGAACTTCCAAAATATGTGGCGAATTGTAAGCCAATTTCAATTTGCAATGTGTAGTACGAGATATTGGCGAATATATTTAATAGCAAACTTAAGCTGGCAATTGAGGACATTTTTCATGAGCTTCAGACTATTAGAATACTCGGCTGATGGATCGAAACAAATATCCAGCTTGAGCGCTTAATGCTTGAATGTGTCTGAAATTCTAATGATCTGGTTTACTTAGTGCAAATTCATTTAAAAAGCGCGTGATTGAGTCAGGCACGCACCCCTTCACTAGAAATTATAAGACACATTCACATAGACAACAGGGGTTTTAAGGCGAAGTTCCTTTGGTACAAAAATAACTCGAAACGATTAATTATAAACAACATTCTTTTTGACAAAATTCCCCCAAAAAGTATTGTTATACAGGTGTTAAATATCCACAACAAAATTGATAAAATGTACGCAAAAAGGACCATTGAGGGTCTGAGCTCACGCACGGAGATCATTGGGTTCGGTCCAATTTGAATACAGCTTTTTAGATTCTGAGTTAAGCAGTCTTTGGTAATAGACAACTTTAATTTTTGTAAACCTGCTACAGTCCGTGGCCTTTAACTCAAGACAGGGTTATTTATTATAATGTCTTCCTTTTAAATTTAACCCGGAACCTTTGTGCATGAATATACTCTCAGGTCAGATTATCGGAAAGGTTTACTGAGCGATGTAATTGTAGATATTCTTGCCTAGGGTGATAACGTTGTGATCATCTCTTTTAATAAAAAAAACACAAAGAAGATTTTCAAGTAACTGAAAAACTCTGCACCGTAAGCGGATCATGAGGTAATACCGCTAAGTGTAAGGAATATTGGCAGCGGTCAAAAGTACCTCGCAAGTTATTTTTCTTGTATAGACAGGAATTGCCACCCACTTCACAACTTGGGACTGTCACTTTCAAACATCGAAAGCCGCACAAAAAAATGGAGTTTAGTGGCCCGTGTCTACAAAAGAAAGCCTATGCATGAAGAAGACATGACATATTTGTTTACTAGAGCAAGCATATATACCTTGCTTCTGTGATCAAACTAATATATCTATATTCTGACCTTGCAAATGTTCAAAGCTTCATCGCATTATCGCCATATTTATTTGGCGTTCGTCACGGGAGCATCCTAGTGGAGATATTACTTTATTTCCCCTTAGAGCAGGTCACACTGGAGTCTCTGCCATTCATTGTTGGGCAGTTAGTGCCTTTAGAGGCCCGCTTACACACTTTACACTTCTTAGGATCGAGTGCCATGAAACCTTTTAAAATCTCTTTCGACGAGAGAGAAGGCTGATGTCATTCATCGGGAAGAAATAAAACATCTGGTGGTCCCCTACATTTCCTATTTCCTCGCGCATCATGCTGTCTTTCTTGGCTTGAAACACTCTTTCAATTTTAAGAACCATCATTTCTCCTAAGTAGTACGAACCTATGACTTCGAAAACACCGCAAAACATTCGCTCTTGTGGAAGGAAGTTCCAGGGTCACCGCATAGATAGCGCCAGCTGGCCAGTGGTCTGAGGAGATTTTCAGAGGTTTTAAGACACTCGATTCTAAGAAGTCGCAAGTGTGTGAACAGGCCATAATTTGTTTTTGATTTTTCTTAAACGCTATCCTTCCATTTCTTAAAAACCGCTTGTCAGTTAAGATGAGCATGT